GTACTGATTTACGGGTAGTCACGAAAACAATACTTAATTCCCTCTTTTTTTATGTTAACATTGATTGCTTGTCCTCTGGATTTATTTAGAAGTTATTTATTCGACAATAAATTTGAAGAAATAGTACATATATTGCACTTTGATGTTATTAATAAATTAGTATAGACTTTTTATGTAAGTGTGTTGAATAAGATTTTGTTTCTCTATTAGCAAGTTCACAACACAATTTATCTATTTCCTCTAACCATATAAATTATTTACTTATATAATTCTTACATTTATTTATTAGTTTTATTCTCATCTGTGACGTATTTAGCCCTTTTTCTCAGGCCAATATATGCTTTAGATCGGTAAAATCATATTTTTGCCCCTCTTTTCTAATAAAGATGCTAGTACCTAATTCTAATGCTTAAAAGTTGTTCAGCCGTAAATTAAGTGACATATACGTTTTGCGAATCATATGCTCCTAATTCTTGAGGTACTTCATTAAAACTCGTCATTCAATACATAGACTTGATTTTATATATTATATTTCCTATTTGCTCGTTGTATATTTCAATCCAATATCAAGATGTTCCTGAAGTGGATATCAACTTTCGCTGTCCAGTTGGCAAGTGCGTAAAAGAGACTCTGAGCCTACCTCTGGAAAACTCTTCTCGTCTACGGGCGCTCTGTCACGCCATGCATGATCACCTTCGTCCAGCGGATCTTACACGCCATCGACTGGCCGGTAGTCTTTTTACACCACACCTTCTCCTAGCCGAGACCTTTCCGGTGCCAGCTCACTTTATGGCTGTGACTCGAGCCTCTTGTCCTGATAGCTCTGGAAGTTTCAGATCTTTGACTGGTAGCTTTTCTGACTACGATAGTGGGTGTCAACAAAATAATTCCCTTAAAAATTCACAGGTTGATCATAAAACGGCAGAGCGACAAGGAAAATGTCAGAACAATCAACCAAGAGAATTTCTGACTGGACCCGAGCTGTGGACAAAAATGACTTTGCCCCCTGAAAGGACATGCAAAGAGGAGGATGTAGATCGCACTATCGGCCAACAGTCACTCTGCACTCGCGTTGAAGAGGTAATCACAAAACATCGGCGGTAGATAATTCCCATTCACTCTATATTTCTTTCCAATTATCAACCAATTTTTGGTATTTACTGAAGTATATTTAAGTGCTTTGAGTCATGCTGACCACATACCTATTTATCCGTTTCAATAAAATGTAAAGTCCACAAACAAGGCACTCGGTAGCGTACCTTCTGTATAAACTAATTAATACACTACGGAATAACCAACTTCTAACATTTCTCCTTATTTAGGATCATTTTAACAAATTTATTTGGAATGTAGCATAGGTTTTACATGAAAAGTGACTCGTTTAGTTTACATAAATCTCACCAATGCATGAGTGACCTTCTCCTATTATAAAAGCTTTGCTGAACTACTAAAGTAAGGAAATAATTATTTATATTAAAGCCAATTAGCTGAGAATTAGTAACAATAGAACAGTGATAAATCAGATGAAACCCGCCACTTCTGAATATTGTTAAAAGATAGGCGTACACAAAGCTTTCGAGGCTTTATGGCCTAACAACAAATTGTGATTGAAGATACCTCGGTTACTGTAATAATTACTCGTTTCCAGAGACAGTACCAAATCAACTTCTCTTCTGTCGAGCCAGAAATGGTATTTTCCAATGATTTTTATCTATTCCTATTCTATGTATCAGAGTAAAGTATGGCTAAACACTAGTTTTCACGTTTCCATCACATTACCTATTTCCGAGTTTATTGCGAATGTTGTCATTATCTCAATTAACCGAGAAATAAAATAATATTTTCTCTACTTCAAATAAATATACTCTCTATTCCAAGTACATTTAGTTAATTAATCAATTATGTCTTGCCTCTATATTTCAGGCAGCTGCTTCAGAAGTTGTACAGACTCATAGTTTCACTGTACAAGTTAATAATCCGATCTTCCAAGTTCCCGCCACGATCTCTTCTGAAAGTAAGCACTGTATCAAAACAAGTTTTGACAAAAAGGTTTTTTTTATTTTGATAAATCTAAATCACTCTTACACATATAAAGCCCAAAATTTAAGTCTCTAACGGCACTCTGGCCATCAAGGATGAAGATAATAATGTGAAAACAGCTATAAACCATTTCATACCCCTCTCTAATGTGAATTACATTCGTTTTCAACCCCTTGGAAGTGCATTTATCTGCATATTTTTTTAGGAAACATTATTTAATTATATATCAGTTGGGTTTACCATAGTTTATTTAAAGTGACGATTGATTTGTGGTTACAATTTTCCACAATGGTATGAGTATATCTTAAGTTTCCATTGATTTCACAAAGCCTTGCTTGAACTGTACTTTTTTCGCCATTTGATACTTTTTCACTTTGCAGGTATAACTGAAAACAGAGCAACAAGATTTAAGTGTCCAAGCTTTTATAGTGTTTACCTGAGAGGTGTTTTCAATCTAAATGATGTAGAAAAATAGATGCATACTAATGGTCGATATTTTCCCGGAGGAAAATAGAAGCGAACACGATATAAAAATGCATCAGATGGGACTAATGACATCGTTTCGACAATTCTTTGGTCAAGCCAGAAAAAATTTTATTGATATTCTTCAGTACTTGGTGAACATTTCAATTTGAAGATGATTTTAATACTTGTATAACGCTGTCGTTTTCATTAATACACTTATAGAGGCGTTTAAATTCGTACAGAAAATTTTGGATAACATTCCAAAACATGACCTTATAAAAATTTAAATAGAAATCTCTTCATATACAAGTCAAAATGTCAATAATGAAAGTACGCTTGCAAAACCTAAATGGAAAATATAATTATTCCATCGTTTTATCACTAAAGGACCTCTAGAATATCATTGTCATACCTTTTTCGGCATAAGTATCCCCCAGAATCCTGAGTATATGTGCATATCGTTTCTTTGATATCGAGAGTGTCTTTGAATTCTCAGGACTTGTGCTTCTGCTAATCATTAGATAGTAATTACACTTGTATATCATCGCGTCTGTATTCCACGAGTTGACTAGTCTTGGTTATTATTGTGTAGAGATTCTGTAACATGCATTTCAACATACATTTATAAATTTAACTCAACTCTACAAATAAGTTCCTGGATATAATTCTATTTAAATTCAAAGATGAAACTAGATTTTTCGACAGTTTCAAGCTTATCTTAGATATGCTGTTAATGAATGTTTATCGTTTTCGAACCGGATAAATGGCTTACAATAGGATAGCTTGAGCTCTATTAATGATTGGGTGCGTTAAAAAAACTGGAACAGACTGCTAAAAAAAGAAGGAAGGCTATACTCGATTCAACTTTACTTAGCCCATTTTACAGTACTAAATAGAATTATGATACCCATATTTTCCAGGATATACTCAAATATGTCGTTTATGACATAATTTCACTTGCTTATTAGCGCATAGAAAAACTTAAGCTTTCGCTTCAAGGATTTAGGGCAATTCTTGATTCTCCTAACATACTTTCTGTTTGAAAATTATTCAGGTCAGGTAGATCTAGAAAGAATTACATTGTCTGGCATCATTTGCCATTTTCCATAGTTCTAGCACCGGAATGTTTGCATAGTACATTTCCTGAAGTTTCGCCGGCATTACAATGAATATCATCGATGAGATTTGCCATTCATATCATCAGGCTACACCTCGCCAAAGGGACAACTTTCTGCTGAATGGTTGTAAAATAAATGCTTCAGTCCTGGTAGATTCGCATATCAGCTATACTCGTATCTCACAATATTTATCATATATTCTGGCCATATTCTTGAAATTAACATAACTAATATTATAGTGGACGTCCCAGGGATACGTTCTTTAAAGTCTCCTTGAAGGCACGACCAATGTGCAAAAATAAGGCTACACCAATCCTATAAAACAAAATAAGGTTGCAACCAAAATATGAGCAACACTAAATTTCTTCGGCTTGGTGTCTTACCTTCGAGCAAAATGTTATGTTTTTTTTTTCCTTTTAATGCTTGTTAATGATTAAGATATGTTCTTCTTAATCTATATTACAATTTTCCTTGATAAATTACCTTTTTCCTTATCTTCAAGACGCGCCCAGTTTAGATAAAAGAGTCAAACCTTCATACGTAATAGCGCTCCCAGTTCGTCTGCTCGCCCATCAGGCTGGGCTACACACTGCACGTCTTGTCATACGTGGGTACCGCTCAAACATGACGGGGGGTTCAGTCAATAAGGAAGCTGACTATTGTGATGATGACATCCGAGTGCACACTATAACATGTCTAGCAGTGACCGAAGGCTTGGCGGCCGGAATACGTGTAACAGCCCCATTGCACCGACCGATTGTGCAAACCCTGCCACTAGTCAATAGGACCCCATTGGACTGGCCCTTGAAAGCTCAGTTCTGCCCTGCTAATTTTGGATTCACAGGTCCTTTTAGCTTCATGGCCAAGGCTCACACCACGAGTCTGTATCCAATCACGTTTGCTGCCAATAGAGAAGGAGAAGTAAACGTGAGTCAGGCAAGGAAAGAAACATTGGCACACATTTTTATGTTAACATAGTACTCACTTATACTAACTATTAAGTTCATTTGCATTTCAAGTGAAAGTAGTTTATGAAGAAATTCGAAGGTCAATTCCACCGGAGAACGATGACAGATCCCTCTTGACCAGCTGTCGATTGGCTTAACTGGAACATCCTTGTT